GATAAGCGGGGGAGGGATGCGGGGGAGGGGTGCGCTCCTGCCATTAGTGCTTTTTTCAGTTTCCATAAAAAGATTATTCTGTAAAATCAGCGAGGGGGAGCAAGCTGGGGGCCGGGGAGGGGGGTGGGTCCCTGGCACCAAGCTGGATGGGGCGACAGGGGAGGAGAGCCGGGGACAGGGACAGAGTGTGGAGAGAAATTTGGATGGGCTTCAGGAGCGAGCCAAGGGGGAAAGGCTGAGCCAAGAACACAGACTTGGGGGAGGCTGGCCAGGACAGGGTGGGGTGGGGGCAGAGCCCTCATCTCCCTCCCGTCCCCTCAGCCAAGCTGCCGGGGGACCCAGTCCCACCTCCATCTCAATCCCCTCCCCCTGGCACTTAGCAGCCATTATCGGGGGAGCAGATTGCAGCCCCCTCCCCCTCTCCGGGAAGCAGGCACAGCTGGGGCCCCGCCACATCTGCTGCATCCGCACGGAGCACAGCTGGGTGTGCCCAGAGCTGCACTCCCCAAAACACAAAGGGGGGAAAGGGGTGGGTGGGGGCCAAGGAGAGCCCAAACCCCTGAGACAGACACACTGACACCTCTGCCAACAGACACATACTCCTTGAGGCGAAGCTACACCCACCGACACACGCTCCCTTGTGTGCAGAGACGGGAGAACTGGCAAACATGCAATTACCCGGCCCCGCCCGCCACCCCCGCTCCCCTCCCCCAGCCCTTCCTGCTCCCCTTCCTTCCCCAAGGCTCCCCTCTGCCGCCATGGCCACCTCTGAACTGCCCTGGGCTCTGGTCTGGAGGGAGTGGGGGGCCTCACCCACCCTAAGTACATCCTGGGAGGCTCAGAGAGCAGGAGGGCAGGGGGTGGTGAGGGTGTTAGAGTTTGAGGCATGATCCCTAGGAAGCCATCTGCCCTCCTTCCAAGCCCACACTCCTCCCCATGAAGAAGCCCTCTCTGAAACTGATCTTTGCCACAGCCTGGGCACTACAAGGTTTCGGTGCCAGCACTGATCACTGCGGCACCCTTGTGCTCCACTGGCCACCTCAAGGGGGTGCTGTGTGTTCTCAGTCTAGCCTTCAGCTCAGCTGCTAGGGTTGGCCCCTGCCACTGCCCTCACCCCAAAATCCCCCCCCCGTTCTCGACCCTTGGTAGTGCGTCTTTCTGCTGCCCCCGACATGCATGGGGTGTAGTGGAGGAGGGGCTCCGTCAGTGGTAGAAAGGTCCCCTTCTCCCAAGACAGAGGAGAGAAGAATCAGGAATTCCTTCTCTCCTCTCCCCGTCGATGACTGCCTCTTGGCCCCTGATGAAACCCTGCCACCTTCACAGCCCTCACTTTTCCCACTTATCTCCTTGGCCCTAGTGTCTTGCCCTCAACCTTCTCCTCCCTGCCCCCCCATCCCACGCCGCTCCCCACATTCCCCTCTGAGCTCTAATCCCTCCTGCTGCTTATCTGCTCCCAGCAGCTTTCACTGCTGCAAAGCCCTCTCCCCCTCCTTTCTGGATCTTCCCCCCTCCTTCCTTGGCTCTCTCCGCTCTCTGACCAGCACCCCCTCCTGGCCAGCCTGTCTCTGCCACTCAGGCCCCCGCTGTGGCTACTGGCTGACACCGCCTCTCTACCCCATGCCCTTTGCCCTCCGCAGCCTCAGCTCTGAGGCTGTCAGCTGCACACCCACTCCCACGATGGCTGTGTCCATCCCAGCCCTCCCCTGCAGGCCCCACGGACTTTGTTAGTTTCTGGCCAGCCAGGATTTTTCATCTTCCTGCCCTCCCTTTCCTGGTGTCTTCCCCACTTCCTCCTGATGCCCCCATCCAGTCTTGGACCTAGTGTCCTTATAGTCCCAGGGACCCGTTGCCTCGGCTTGGGAGTGCCTGAAAGGAGATGGGAAGTGTTGGTATGAGACTTGGGAGAAGGTGCTGGGCTGGGCTGGCCCTAGGAAGATGGGGTGGGGGTGCAGGGAGTACTGGCGGACAGTGGGGGCAGGGCCTGGTGGCGGGACGCTAACCCTCTTCAGTCGCCTCAGATCACGTTCGGGCCTCCCCACCCCCCTTCGCTGGGACTCTCATTAACCGCTTCTCCTGCCTCGTCCACAGCATAAATAACCCAGATAAATCAGCCGCCGTCCGCCCCCCGCCCCTCGGCCCCCGCACAGCCCGTTTGTCACCGCTGTGTGCTCACCAGCCAGGCCTGGCCCAGCCCCGGCCCCAGCCCCCCATTCCTGGTCCCTTCCCGCCCACATCTGTCCCACACTGGCTCAGCACTTGGTCCGCACCAGGGCCAGGTGTCTGGGCTGGGGAGGGTGTCCTCTGCGTGCAGGGGGGAGGCTGGGCACCTTTAGGAGAATGCTGTCTAGGAATTCGGGGGGTCATAGCATTTATGAATGGGGCCAGCCAGGCAAGGAATCTGGGTATCAGTTTGGGGGTTCCTGTGCTTTGAGAAAGCGCCCTTGGAACCCCCCAGGTTGGATCCTGGGAGGTCTCTGGGTCTGCCTTTGGGGCATTTTGCCCAAACAAAATCTTCATGCCTCCTCCCAGGAACCTTGAGCCAGAAACCCAGTGCCCTCCCTGTCTCTCTCCCCCTCTGCACGCACCCCCCACCCGGCCCCGTTACCAAACCTCGTCCCAGTCCAACTACCACTCATTCTCACTGTCAGGAAGCCCATCCCCTGGGGGGCAGAGGCGGGTGAACTGGACTGGGAATAAATATGAGGAATGGGGACAACCGGAGAGCAGAGGAACCTGGGATGAGGCTTCACATTCTGACCCCGCAACACCCAGCTCCCCCGGCACTCCCAGTCCAGGGTCCTTAACAGCCCCGCCCCCTTTGCTCACACCCAGCTAAGGGCCTGGCCAGCCACACTTGTCCCTGATGCCTCACTGCAAGGGGCAGCTGGTCCCCCGGGAGTGGGTAGGGGAAGCAGGGAGGGGTGGGGGAGCTTGGGCGCAGGGCTGGGGTGGGGGTGGGGAAGAAGCTGGGCCGGGCCCCAGGGACCAGCTGGGCAATGAGCCGGGGAAGCAGCCGGGAGGCTAAATGAGGGAGATTATCACCCAACTGCAGCCGGGCAGAGAGGGAGGCAGGCAGGGAAGCGGGGAGAGGGAGGAGAGAGGGGACGGGGCCAGAGGCGAAGGGGGTATAGAGAGACAGGGAGGGGGCCAGAGGGCCTGGTGAGAAGTAAAGGGAAAGGTCAAGAGATGAGCTGGAAAGATGGGGGCACTCCCCCAGAACATCACCAGATTCCTGGAGATCTGGGAGACTGGAGCAGGGGGCTTGGGGACAATTGGAGACAGCTGGCTGTGGGGCAGTGGTGGGGGTGTGCATGCAGCTAATTGCTGCTCCACTTCCTGGCAGCCTGGAGCTCCCCTCACAGCACCCCCCACATGCCCCTTATACCCAGTTACCACCCGATTTATTTCCTTATAGAGGTTGAAGGCGTCCTGCCATCCCTCAGGAGGAAGGAGGGTGTGATTTGTCTCATGATGGAGGCCAGTATGTTGTCAGGGAAGTGTGACCCCACGATCTCAATGGATGGTGGGGGAATTCAGAGACACGTATGCACTTCCGGGTAGTAACGAGTGCTGGGGAGAGTTTGGGGGGCAGTTCCCCGCTTTCTTGGCAGGGCCCCAGACTGAAGTAACCTTAAAAAGCAATTAAGTCACCTTTAAAAAAAAAAAACAGTAAAGAAAAATCAATATTAGGAGAAAGGGGAAGAGAGAGAAGGATGGGGAGGAACGGTGTGGGGGAGCTCTGGAAAGGTCTGGAAGTCTACCAGGAAGGGGAGAGCATAGGAGGGGGCTGCCTGGGCATGGGACAGAGAGAGGGGACTGTCTGAGGTCACTTGGCCACTTTCAGTGCTAACTCAGCAGCTTCGTCCAATGCCAATCCCACTTTCCCTTCTGGGACACTATGTCCCAGCCAGATGCAGCACCCTGCCCCAGGGGTCTTATCTTCCCAGCTTGGGGAACCAGCTGACCCAGACTCATCGGAGGCTTGTGGGGAAGCCCAACTGTGGGGTCCCTGGGGAAGCCACTTTGCCTAAAGGCTAGGGACAACCTAGGCAGGGCACTGTGCATGGCCAGGGCTGGGTGTGTGGGCAGACTCCATGCTAGGGTGACCCTGATGGGGCCTGACCTGGCCTTGCAGCCAGGGTGGGCAAAGTGGCTCCTGGCCGCCAAGGGAGCCATCCCTGGACCCCTCCCCTGGGGCCAGGCAGAGGCTGCAGGGCCAGGCCTGACGCAGGGGGCGGGGTGGCCGTTGGGCCGAGGGTGGACCTCGGGCTCTAATCCCCAGCAGCTGCCGTTTCCCTCAGATCGATTCCCTTCTCACTTTTTTTTCAGCTGCTGGTTCCGCGGCTTGGATCGATGGAGCCACCTCCCCCCGCCCGTCCATGCTTCCTCTCCCTGCTGCTCATTAGCGCCCGGATTAATCAGCCCCCCTTTCCTCCCCTGTGAAGGCACATGCTCTCACATGGGGTCCCAGAGCACAAGCACTGATTCTTGCCACCCCCACCCTGGGGGCACGGATGCATCCCCTACTGGCCAGTCAACTGAGGCTCCCACCCCCGCCTATGATGATGGCCCACATGGCTGTTCCCCTCCACAAGAACACAGCAGACCCATTAGGGCTCTCCTGCCCCACTCTGCCAGGCACCCCTCAAACCCATTTACTTAGGAGAGCATTTGCTCCCATTGACACCCAGCACACCTTCCTGCTCTCTTCCATGCCCCCACTGGGGCTCTTCCTCTCCCTTCATTGCATGCCCTGTCCCCCTACATATAGAGCACCCCCGAAACATACCTCCCCTTTGCTCCCTGGCTTGCTTACCCAACACCCCTCCCCTGAAGCCTGATTGTGGCAAGCGATTTGGGGAAAATTTGGGGAAGCAAAGTGGCCACAGATATGCAAGCTGGCCAGCGTTCTCTCTGTCCCAGACATATAAATGACTGAGATTGGGGTTGGGGACAAAATGAGGGTGAGGGCAGCCAGCCTCCCAGAGGGGGCAGGGGCTGGTGGGTGTTGAAATCAGGAGCAAAGCTCCAGGGAAGCTGAGAATCTTGGAGTCACAGTTGTCCCCTGGTCTGTCTAGCCTGCCCTCCTCTGCCCCCCTCCCCTCCCTCATTCAAACAAGTGGCTCTCTCAAGGAGTTTCTGGAAGCTGCTGTGAGTCGGGTAGTGGGATCAGGTGGTGACTGGGTGCTGGAGTCAGGAGTCTCAGAGGCCACGAGGTGGGGGGATAGAGTTGGCTGACCCTTCATGGGGTGTGGGCCAGGAAAGTGGCAAAGAATGAGCTGAGGACCCTGGGCACGGCACCCTTCCCTGGGTGGCCAGGGAGTGGGGAGATCTGGGGACCCAGTGAGCGGCTAGGGTGCAGCAGGAGTTTGGGGGATAGCCCCAGTCTCGGGATCCCTGTCCTGGGCTGGGGACTGCCCCCTCCCGTGGCCTGGCTCCTGATGCCCGTGCTGCCGGTGAAACGCTGTTGACATGTCCTGAATTATTAAGCACGGGGTGGGCTCCGGAGCACATGCTGAGTGGAGCGGCTGGGGCTGCGCGGCGTGGCGGAGCAGCGCTCGCTCCCTCGCTCACTCGCTCGCTCGCTCGCTAGCTCGCAGGGACACACGCAGGGGCTGACAGCTGTGCTGGTGCTGATAAGGGAAGCCACAAGGAGACGATCGAGGAGAGAGACAAGCGGCAGCAGAGGCAGCAGCGGCAGAGGCAGCACCAGGGCTGCGGAGCTGCTGGGAGTGGGAGTGACTCCCCCACCTCGGGCCCCCACCCTGTCCCTGTCCTCCTCCCGCTTGCCCTGAGTTTAGAAGAGCAGCCGCTGCCACTACCGCCACTCGGGAGGGCACCAGGGCTGCTGGCTAGGGAGGGACAGGGCAGGGAGGCTCTGGCCAGTCCCAGCAGCCGGGGACAGATGCCGATCGAGATTGTGTGCAAAATCAAATTTGCTGAGGAGGATGCGAAACCCAAGGAGAAGGAGGCAGGGGATGAGCAGAGCCTCCTCGGGGCTGCTCAGGGGGCAGCAGCCCCCCGGGACCTGGCCACCTTTGCCAGCACCAGCACCCTGCATGGACTGGGCCGGGCCTGTGGTCCAGGCCCCCACGGACTACGCAGAACCCTGTGGGCACTGGCCCTACTCACCTCGCTGGCTGCCTTCCTGTACCAGGCGGCTGGCCTGGCCCGGGGCTACCTGACCCGGCCTCACCTGGTGGCAATGGACCCCGCTGCCCCAGCCCCAGTGGCAGGCTTCCCGGCTGTCACCCTCTGCAATATCAACCGCTTCCGGCATTCGGCACTCAGCGATGCCGACATCTTCCACCTGGCCAATCTGACAGGGCTGCCCCCCAAAGACCGGGATGGGCACCGTGCCGCTGGCCTGCGCTACCCGGAGCCTGACATGGTAGACATCCTCAACCGCACTGGCCACCAGCTCGCCGACATGCTCAAGAGCTGCAACTTCAGTGGGCATCACTGCTCCGCCAGCAACTTCTCTGTGGTGAGTTCTGCCAGCTGGGCTGCCTGGCCTGGGGTGGCTGGAGGCTGGGGAGCGGGAAGGAGTGGTGGCAGTGGTGTGCAGGGGCATCCTCAACAGGGCTTCCCTTCCTTCCGCCACCAGAGGCTGGCCTCGTGTCTCTCCAAGCCTGGCATCTCCCTCTGGTTTCCCAGCCATGGAGCAGTGGCCGCTCATACGGGCTTACCCTGGGGCGCCTGCTGCTACTCTTCTTGTAGCACTCTTCTTGCTGCTGCTGCAGTGCCCAGGTCTGGGAGTTGGGGTGGGGGTTCCTGCGGTGGGCCCAGGTGTCCCTGGAGTTGGCTGGCTTGCAGGGAATGGACATACCATCCCAAGGCCAGACCAACTGACTCCCACTTTTCTCTTGCTCCCTTTTTCTTCCGAGGCTACTGGATTCTTCCCACCAAACGAAGGAGATGGGGAGGGGAGGTTCGGGGGGCTCCATCTAGGGAAGGACCCCAGGCGGCCTCCTGGGGAGCTGGCCTGGTGGGCAGGCTGCAGAGAGCCCGTCTTCAGGACACTAGGTGCCAGTGTCTCTTCTGGATCTCTGTGTCTCTCACATGCCCGCCTCACAGACTCCCTCACACATCCCTCTTTCATTCTGCCCTCCAGCCCTCCCGAGGGCCAGTCCCCCTCTGTCTCCTGTTATAGCGGCTCCCATGCCCAGATCTGGCTCTTACACTGGGAATCACTGGTTCACTCTTATGTGCATAACTCACCCTCACTGCTGCCCCAGCATGGGTGCATGCACACATGCACGCGCACACACACACACACTGCTGGGGGACACAGTTTCCTGCACACTCCCTCGCTCACACACACTCACTGTCCCTGTCACTACACTCACATGCACACCTGCACACCCACACCCAGAGAGCTACTCATCTCCATTTCTAGCTCCCAGCTCTCGCTTAGCTGCCAAGCACAGGGTCCCACTGTGGATGCCATCCCTTCTCATGACACCCCCCCCATCTATCCCAACTGCTGCTCCCCATTTGGAGACTGCTGGCGCCATCTCTCAATCTCTCACCTATGTGTGAGCACAAACACACGCACCCTCTCCAGGAGAGGGGTGTGAGCTTGGGCTGCTCTCCCATGCACGCCTCCCACAGTCAGGTATGTGAGGGGGGTGGGCGTGTCTTGTACGCCGCCTGTCTGTCAGGGCTCCATTCACCCATAGTCACAGGGTATCTAGTATTCATGGTGCTCGAGATGCTTGTCCCCAGTCCACAGTTTGCTCCCAGCGTTGTGTGTCTGTTCGCGTGTATGTTTCATCCTTGTTACCACTGCCCAGTGCATATGCAAATGTTTGGCGTCAACATGGTGCCCGCTCCGGCCCAGCCTCCAGCAGCCAGCCCCAGTGATAGGGACCCCCACCAGGTTCTCACTCACCCGCTGCCTCAGGATCGCCAGGAAACATGCTCCAGCCACAAGGTTCCTGGCCCCCACCATGTCTGCAGTGTCTGGGGCCTCCTGCCATTGGGCAGGGGAGTTAGGTAGAAACCGAGGGACAGGAGGGGGAGCATTGTGCAGGGAGAAGAGTCAGGGGTATTGGCCTGTTGTCCAGCTGTACACCCCCTCTCCTAGGGAAAATCACTGCTCCCCAAAGCCAGGGTTGGTAGAGTCCCCAAGGAGGAGGATATGGGGTATGGAGGGTGAGTGTGGCCTTTGGGATCCACAGGACTCTGCTGTCCTCAATCCTCACCACTCCGTACTGGGGGCTGGGCAGAGCTCAGGCTCAGCAGGTGCTGTTGGGGCAGAAATCAATGGGGTCTTTGTGTCCCTGAGCGGGAGCTGGGGGTGGGCAGGAAAGGGGAAGGGTGATGAGACCTCAGGGGGAGGAAAGGAGAGGAAGAGCTGGAGGGGGTGAGGAAGTAAGGGGAGGAAGGCAGAGGGTTCTGCTTGGTCTCCAGGCTAGGAGGCGGTGCCTGGAGGATACAGGAACAGGGATCCCCTGATCAAGGCTGGTGAGTCCCCGGAATCCTGGGGATGGCCCGGAGGAGTGTGGGTGGATTTCCCACAGGCCCTCTGGTGCCCTGGGGCTAGAGAGAGGAGGATGGTAGAAGTCTGTGGGCTGAGGTTCTGGCCCTGGTGCAGGACAGTGAGGGGTAGAGGGCATAGCAAGCACTGGGGGACAGGAATTCCCCTTTGGGATTTCCATTTCCCCTGTCTCCAGCCCAGCCTCCTACCCTTCTGCACACACTGCATCCCCTGTCTACTGAGCGTAACTCTCTCTTGGGTCTGGCATTCAAGGGCTGAGTCTGCTGCAGATTCACCAGGGTCTGGAATTACAGGTTGGGCTGGGGGCCCATGATCCATGGCAGTGGGGAAGATAGGGTGTATTACAGGGGAAAGGTTGGAGAAGGGGGAAGGAGATGAAGATACGGGGTCTCCAAAAAGGACATGAGGTCCATAATCAGCTCTGTGGTGAGGACCTGGAGTCAATGATGGGGATTTGGGGTCTATGGTGGGGAGATGGCTATGTGAGCTGGTTGGTGGGGAGCTGCCAGGGTATGAGTGGTGAGATGGTCAGAGACAGGGACAGGCTTCACCAAGGGGCTGTTATGTGTTTTCTGTTGCTTTCCCTGTTTCTTCCTTCCCACTCCCCACTCTGCTGTGACCTTTCCTCCGGAATCCAAGTTAATAAATGTCACATTTTCCAGCCTATTTTTACTCCGGGTAATGTGCCCTCCCCCAGTCCCCTCTGCTGCTGCTCTTGCTTCTGTTACCACTGCAATCGCTCTCCCCCCACGCTCCCTAATATCCCTTGATGCATTCCCAATCAGTCAGTCAATCAACATGGAGTTCTGCGTGCCTACTATGTGTTGGACTCCCTGCTCAGAGCTGTGGAGGACAGCAAAGATGGGAAGCCCTGTCCCCAGTCCCTGTCCTCAAGCAGCCTATAGTCTCATGGTAGAGTGGGGACAGGGATACTCAGAAGCTTAAGCAACCATGCAAGAGTTAATCAGCCATGCAAGTGGTGTCATAAGGTGCCAGGATCAATTGCCAGACGAGGTGCATAGGTAGTAAGAGGCTGAGTTCAGAGAGGGAGAGGCCATTCTGGGTGGAGGAGAGCTGGGAAGACCTAGGGGATGAGGCAGACTGGGCACAGTTTGGAGAGGAGAAGAGGGAAGAGGGGAGAGAGGAGAGGGCTCTGGGAGGCAGTGCTCTGCACCATGGCTAGCTCCAGCTAGTTACCTCTGCTCCTCTCTTCTTCTCCTCCCTCCCCTCCTCACTCAGTCTCATACCATCTCACTCCTACCCATTCTACCACCTGTATGTCCCCCACCCCTAGCCTTGTAGACAGCTCTCCCTTCCTCCCTGATTCCTGCCGCCATCTGCTACCCACACCCCCTTCCTCCAAGCCCCAGTTCTACCTTCCCCACTGCGGCCTGCTCTCAGCCTGCCCTCTTACTAAAAGGCAGAAATCACTCTTTCTCCCTAGGCTTCATTTCTTGAGCTGTAAAATGCAAGGGTGGCTCTAAAATTCCGCATCTCCTCTCACCTGGGGACCACCAGGATTCGAACCTCGGCTCTACCCATTTAGCTGTGTGGCCGTGGGGAAGCCAAAAAGCTTCGTGAGCATCAGTTTGTGTATTCTTTAAATAGGATATTAGAACCTAAAAATTGGGGGTTGCTGTGAGGATTAAAGAGATGCTCCTAAAGAGCTTAGCACACTACCTGGCACACACATCGTATACACTGTGTAAGCGTCAGCTGTTATAAATGCCGCCACCCCAACTCCTGGCTATCTTTAACCTGACTGTTCTCAGCACCACCTACTGGTTTCCGACCCATGTACTGGCATCTTCATTACTCTCCATTACCTAGGCATCCCCCAGCTTTTGACCCTGTGGCCCACACCCTCCTCTGCCCTGTTCTAGCATTCCCATTCTATTCAGCCCTCCAAAATATGCACGCACGTGTGCATAGGTGCAGAAATGTGCACACACTGTCTAGATCAGTGCTGGCCAATAGAACATTCTGTGGTGATGGACGCGCTGTGCACCTGTGCTTGTACAACATGGTAGTCACTAGCCACATGTGGCCGTTGAGCACTTGAAATGTGATTAGTGCAACAGAGAAAATGCATTTTTAATTCAAAGAGCCACACATGGCTATAGGCTGCCGCGCTGGACAGCACAGCTCTGAATGGCCCTAGGAATGAGACTGTCTGGGTAGGGCAGGGCTGGGATTACAACTGGGACCACAGAATATAGGGGGGTAGCTGCCGGCTGTGATTGGAAGTCATGCCGTCTACTCTGCGGGCTGCGATCTCAGATGGAGCGGAGGATAGGGTCTGTGTCTGGGCGCTGGGGGCAGTGGGGTGTCTGGAAACACCATGTGAGCAAAGGTGCCTTTCTTCTCAGGTGCAGGACATGACCTTGGTCTTTTCCATGTTACTGTCTGGAAATTTGAGGCTGGGGGAGGTGGAGAAGCCCTGTGGAGGCATGGGTAGGAGCCAGCCCCTCTCCTCAGGGTCCTCAAGGGTCCAGGCAGCCCCTGGAGGGCCAGGAGCCCGGGGCCCTCTGGGCGCCTCACTATCTCCATCCCCTCTGGGCTCTCCGGTCTCCCTCCCCCTCCCGACCCTCCTTCCCCACACGCTGGTGACTGCCGTGACTATTAATCACTCGCCCTGTTCTCTTCCTCTCTACTAATCAGGCACAATTAGACAAGGCCTCTTCCAGCTGGGCTGTCCCCCTCCCTGCCCTCCTCTCTTCTCCCTGCCCCACCCAACCACCAGCCAGGACAGCTCTGAGGCACAGAACAGCATGAAAGCCCTCTCTCTCTCTCTGGCTGCCACAGGACCCAGTTTCGGGCTGCTCAGCATCCACTCCTTCTATCCCAGCGACCTCCTTAGCCCCTTCTCCTCCCAGCGTGTGGTCAGGCCAATACTGACAGTCTCTGCCTTCCACCCCCCTGCCCTTGGCCCTGGGAGGAGCTACTCCACACTCCATCCCAACTCCACACCTTTGCCACTGGGT